TATATATATATATATGTAATATATATTTGATGACCTATTGCAGCAAAAATAAAAATAAAACCCAGAATGAATTGTACTACATTCCAGTGAGGGTACCATTATAATCCAGTAGCCCATAAAGTACTCTGTAAATACACTGAGTGAGTCATGGCACATGCACTCTAACGTTACTGGGCAACGTATTAACCAGTGGCGACGACAGCCTCATACAAGTCTAAAAACAGCCTCATACAAGGCCCTTAAAGGTGTGACAGAGAGTATACCGGAAATGGGGATTATTAATGTACAAAATTATTATTAATGTACAAAATTATTATACATAGAAATAACAGTGTCATGACACTGGGGCGGTAGCTTCTAGTAGCTATAACCGGACCCAGTAGCTCAAACGTTAAGCTAATTTATCGTTAGCATGGTGCTGACAGTTGACGCTCCAGTCATCCGCCATTTTGTTATGGGCCCGCCTTCGCTATACGTTAGCCACCATCCGTACATTTTTTTTCTTCTAAATAACACAGGGGCTTGATGACATTTACTGTTTTTAATATTTAAAAGTATATTTCATATTAATTCCCCCCCGAATCCAACGGCCAACTGCCATGTCAATATATTGTTAAGCTGAAACAACGACGGCCGTTAGCCTGCATTAGCTCCTCTTACTAGTTAGCCGTGGCTAACATTGTAGCTAGCTGAGCACTGCTCCGTTAACGTGAGCTAACGCGAACATGTCCCCCTCTCACGCGCCAGCCCCGGGAAAATAAGTGCGTCCTTACCGTCATATCGCTCTGCCTGCTCGGCAAGTTTTGCCTGGTAAACTAGGTCCTCTCGCTCTCCCATTGTGGTGTCGCGGTGCAGCTGGAGTTAGCGAACGGAATTCAAAAGCGGCAATTTATTCTAGTGGAAAACAACGGTGATGGTGGTGGTAGTAGTGGAGGTGCACCAGGTCTAATCGGCGGTTCCTAGAAATCAACTGTGGGTCGATTGAGTGGTGTTCCGCCCCACCGGCAGCGATGTGCTGTGTGTTGATGGGAGTAAAGATGGCGGCGGGTCTCATCAGAGAGATGCACACATACGCACATGAATCACCAGCTTTGAGACCTCCTCCTCCTCTTCTACCGCCCAGTAAAACATGTAATATCTGTAAAGAGAGGAGCTTAATCATGAGATCATTTACAGTATTATACACTAACTACGCTTTTATGAGTTGGTCAATTATATATACTGTCATTTGGGTTTTTTATCAGTTGATTCTGATAACGTTTTTTTAAAACAGAATAAACTAAACCAACATGTGATGTTACCAAAGTATTAAAAATAATAGTTAATGTAAATATATGTAAAAATGTATCTCTCCCTCTATATATATATATATATAATGTGATATACAGTATATATTTATAAATATATATATGTAATATATATATATATATATATATAACTATTGTTTAACTGTTTTCTATTCATCACATGCTGGTTTAGTTATTCTGTTGTTTATAAAAATGTATATATATTTATATAAATATATATACTTTTTTTAAACAGAATTTTTGGGAAGACACATTGCGAATTATCAAAAGTAACTTTTACTGCTTTAAGCAGCACAAATTAAATCCTATCTACCTCCATTTTTGGGGTGCTGATTGTTTCTCTAAATACTTAATATATATATATATATATGTATATATTTATATTATAATAGATCAATTTACTTTATGAGTGCCCTTTTAGTTGATAATTATTTACCACATTTCTATTATGACAATTAAAACCTTTTCCACTAACAGTTGAGTAAATTGCAAGGACATTAAATAAAGCTTAATTAATTGCATAATTAGCATAAAAAATAAGCAATTAATGTCATCATTTTCTGTGTGATTGTAATTTAAATCCTGTAGTCATTTCCCCTTTGGTGTTTGAATATAATTAAAATATTACATATGTTATGTCAGTATTCTAGCTATAATGTGTATAGGTGAATCTACATGATCTTTAATAGGCTGATAATCATACATATAAAACTAGTTTGCATACATTCCTTCTGTACGTTGACTCTTTAGCTATTCAGCTTCATGCTGCGTTGCTAAAAATAACCCTGTAACATGAATGGACATCATTTCTGTAGCTAAGCAACTGCCCTGTGCAGCATGAATGAACCGTAGCGTTAAAACATTTAAACGTAAATGTTAAGAAGTCAATAGATTTAACACATCATTTGTCATGGGTCTGACTTTATTTACTAGTATATTAACACATTACATGCTACAGAAAATAAAAAGGTAATTTCAATTGTCTTGAAAGAATATAGTGTTATAATAAAATGGCATTTTTGATATTAACACAATTTCCACCGTCATCTTTCTGCCACGCCTTCGTTCTCATGAGAGGGAATGAATGAATGACTTCATGCAGGGCGACTGAAGATAAAATAAAATACTTGGTGGTTTCATTGTAATGTTTAAAAGGTAATGATTCCATGTCGCTGTGTGAAGTGTGAGTGAGAGAGAAGCTGGTCTGAAGTCGACCACGTTAGGACTGGAGATACATTGAAGTATTAATAATATGAGACGACATGTCGTCTGGGATTTTAGGCTCTTTTCCTGGTTTAAAGGCTACGTTACAGTAAAATAAAGACTGTTGTATTATTTCCCTTTACATCCACAGTAGTGATGAATATTAAACATCTTAGTGTGAAAATGTTGTGGAAGCACCGACGCTCAACTCTACAATGTCACCATAATATCAACATTATAATAACAAAATATATATTTAGTGATCGTGTATTTTCTCCATATCGCCCACATTATTAAATACTCAATATTATTATTTGGAAAGTGGCCAACTTGAAAACATAAAAAGCTGAAAGATCAACGTGTGGGAGCTAAATCAAGGATAAATAAAAACCCTTTAAAATATAATAAAAGCTCGAGAGTGGTGGTAAAAGCATTCTGTTAAAAAAATTCGAATTTAATCTCCTCAGAACCGTTAGAATGTCCTCATCTATCTGAATGTGGTTATAGTGACACCTAGAGGACAGAAGGTGCGCTGGAAACAACGTGATGATTGTCAACAGATTCAACAGAAAACAAACGTATGTTGCTTTGTTCTACTTGGCAAATAAAGACACAGCAGAAAAGGTAAATCAAAATAATAAAAAGTCCAGGTGTGCTAATAAAAGAGAGGCAGAGGATGAAGAGAACATGATGTCACACCTGTTCTTCTCAAAGGTAGATTCAGTGAGCTGGAGACGGACAAACGTGGCCGACAGACACAATGAGAACACACATGTGGTGAAGTGAGAGCATCATCGCTCCCTTCCCATCATGCATCAGTAAAAAGTGTACATCGAAAACCGGACAAAATCAGCAACAGAAGATAACAAAAAGAGAACGTTTTAGCATGTAATGATAATCACGTCGTACATCATTTCATAACAATATGTTCCTCATTGTTCTTCTTTCTTACAAAAGACGACTTCGTCTGTAGGTGGGAGGTGAGGAGAGTTTAGTGTCGTCTTTTATCTCCACATCAACAGAACGTTCTCTCGGGTTAGAATCCTCCGAGCTGCTGATCTCCACTTCACTTTGACGGTTTCCTCCGTTTCATATTTGGTTTCTGCTCCTTCAAGAGGATGTTCATCTCTCTCTGGGACACAAAGGAACTCTCTCGTCTTCTTGGGTTGAACTTAAAACTAACGCTGCATTCATGTCCAACGAGAACAATAGTAAAGGTAAAAACATACCTTTAAAGCCGGGGTTGGTACAGCGATCAATGAATTGAATACTCTGATGAACTAAACTAAAAACCTGGTATCTGTAGTTCTCTCAGGACTGTAATAACCTCGTTCAAACATTTTATTATTTGGCCAGAATTTAATTAAAAAAATATAATTATGATGATTTCGGGAGTGTTGACGACTTTCTTACTAGATTTAGCAACTTTTGGAGATTGAGCCGCTACGTCCATTGTAATAGAGTTGTGAACACGGGGCTGGCTTTTTTATTTATTAGATAATTCTTAAAATCTAGCGTTCTCTTCCTAGTTTTCTTTAGATTACTAACCCTGGCTTTGAGGCGGTAAACACAGCCAGAGAACATTGTAAATGTTCGGCGTTGTTCACTCGTACAAATCCTTTGGAAAGCTACATTTTAGAGTTAAATATTAGTGTTATTATTAATGTCTTTAATTCACTGAACAAAGACATCAACACCGAGAAGACAAAAGAATGCTGACATTTTCAAGTTAGTGCTCAAAAAATCCTCAGACTCAGCTCAGGATTAAAAGAATAGTCTGGTCGACTTAGATGCCGTCTTTCTATAATAAATATATTAGCTTAGCATAAAGCCTGGAAGTAGTAAGAGGGGGAGCTAGCTTGGCTCTGTCCAAATGCTAGTTATTATTTGAGTCTCTGAATCTCCATCTTTAATCTTTTCTACGAGGAAGTAAACAAACAAGATAGAACATTTTAAATTAGTGAGCTTTAGAGGTGCTGGTTGGTGGGGGTTCTGTCTCGTTAGCCCAGAGCTAGGCTAGCTAGTTCTCCCCCCCCCCCTGTTTAATGCTAAGCTACGCTAATCGGCTGCTGGCGGTAGCTTCACATCTACTGCACAGACCCCCAGAGGAATATATCACTGTTCTCATCCGACGCTTGGTAAGAAAATGAAAAAGCACGACAACGAAACCGGAGCTTCAGATCGTGTAGAGAATATCAGACGGAGAAAGTGGTGAAGAAGGGCGGCCATGATTATTCAGAGGATGTGAGCGTTACAACGGTCCAACGCTTGTTTTGTCCTCGAGTGGTTCTCTGAAACTGTAAAACCCAGAGAAGACGTGAGGGTCGGGAGGGGGGGTGGAATGGGAGGGAATAGGGAGGTAGGTTAGGAGTGAGGAAGGAAGGGTGTAATAATAATACTAGTGTCCAGGTAGCGGCCTGACCCGTCCGCCCTCAGCTGAGCTCGTCCTCGGCGTTGTGCTGGTCCACCAGTTTGACGTGCGTGAAGGGGAAGTGGCCTCGCTTCCCTTTACATTCACCCTCCCACTGACCGTTCACGTTGATCTTAGTCACCATCACCCTGTCGCCCACCTGGGGAGGGAGGGAGGGAGGGAGGGAGGGGAGAAAAGGTGTTAATTATTAGAGAGAGAGAGATGCAGAAAGAGAGACAGCGACAGCCAGACAGGTGACAGAGGGGTGTGTGTGAGAGAGAGATCATTTATTTATTGTTTCAGACATAATATCCGGCAGTTAATGTTCCCCAGATATGATTTGCTGCTTTTCTAAAATATTTTCTGCACATTCTGCAGACTTTAAAGTCTCAAAGATCTTCAACCTGTATTCTCTCTAGTGATCACCAGGGGGCGACTCCTCTGGTTGTATAGAAGTCTATGAGAAAATGACTCTACTTCTCTCTTGATTTATTACCTCAGTAAACATTGTAAACATGAGTTTTTGGTCTCAATCTCTAGTTTCAAGTCTTCTTCAATACAGCATGATGTTCATTTAGTACATTATGGTCCATTTAGAGTCAAACAGACCATAAAGCAGGGGATGCTTTAGGGCGGGGCTACACCGTGATTGACAGGTCTCTACCAGAGACATATACAAAGTCAGGTGTTAGCGTGTCTGTCTGTCTGTCTCTGAGTCATGAACCTGAGTAAACAAGGACTAATGGACGGTTCCAAAGGTCGATGTTTGATGACCTTGTTACCAGTAAAGACAAACTTCCTGTTAAATGTGTAACTGGCAGCATGATCAGATAAAAACATGTTCTGCTGGTGAAAGAACTTACATTTATGATTATTTTTATCCACCTACTGCAGCTGCACACAATTTAGACATGTTTAACATTTAAAGTAGTAGATAGAAGTAATTTCTGATCTTAATAACAATATATTATGTTTTCTTGTAATTAAATAAATATCAACTCAAAGCAGCTCTGCTGCCGTGTTGAAGTGTTTTTATATCATTAATTTAAACAGCTGGCTGCGTTTTTTGGGTCACTCGTTCACAACACTGTTAGCGTTGATGAATGATTTAACCATCACGGTGCAAATAAAGTTTTACTGACTCAGTAGAACATGTGTTTCTAGTCTCTGATCATGTTTCATTGTAAACAACCAATCAGTGTTTAAACCAACAGGAGGAGAGCTAGTAACGTTAGCAGCACCGCTAACGGCT